CCCCCCAGTAAGTGATTTACTTAAAAAAAAAAGTGTAGGCAGTATAGGGGACTGTACCCACTGAACTTTATGGCCTCAAGCCCCTTGTAAAAGACTCAAATGGTGGAAGCAGCACTGTGCTAGATGGAATGTGACAGACAGAATGTGCTAGAAAAAGTAGGAAAGAGGGCTGGAATGATGGCCCAGCGGTTAATTCTGTTCTTCCAGAGGTCCTGAGTTCAATTCCCAGCAACCACATGGTGGCTCACAACTACCTTGAATGAGATCTGGTGCCATCTGCTGCCATGCAGGCAGAATAGAAAACTGTATACATAATAAATAAAAATAAAATCTTAAAAAAAAGGAAAAGTAGGAAAGAACAGGAAGAAATATATTAATAAGAGGCCCAAAGTGGGCATTCTGTTTGAAGAGAGGGTCCCAGGAGCAACGGAACAAAAGGCACTCTTCCTGATTTTATTGTCTTCACGTTCCTAGGAAGGCTGGCCGTGTTAGAGCTCCATCTCCAACAGACTGAAGCAAGGTGAAGCCAGAACTTTAGAGAAAACATTTGTATATGCTGAGCCTTTCTTTAGATCAGCGGTTACTAATGACACACACTTGAAATCAAACAGCAGCATTCCTAACAAGGATGAACACAGTTCCTCTCTAGGATACCAGAGAGGAGTAATACGTCTCAAACCAATAACAGGAATGTTTTCTAATGAGCTCCCTTTAGCTTGGTGCCATTCTAGACACAAAAGAAAACCTCAGGGAAAAAAAAAATTTCAGCAGATGGGCAGGAATCTCAAGAACTTGGCAAAGTCCTGAAGGAGGAAACAGGATCTCAGTGGCCCAGTTCTGATCACCCAGTCTTTTAAAAGTTATGGTCTCAAGACAGTGGGATGTCGCAGTGGGGAAAGGCACTGGTCCCCAAAGCCTGATAGCTGGGCCCAACCCCCAGAGCTCACATACTGGGGAGGAGAGATGGGAGATGGGAGGAGAGAAATGACTCTTGGAAATTGCCCTCTGAACTTCATAACCCTGCTGTGGCATGTGCCTCCAGGGAGCAAGGCTGGATTTTGTACCCTTGTTTCTTTCTCTAAGCCCAGCCTTGCTCACCAGGCTGTTTGCCTTGCTCACTGAAGAACATCCCAAGTGAGCTGACAAACTGGGCTATCTACAGAAGGCTGGGCATGTGGGGCAGAGGTTGCCAATGAATCAAAGGAAATGATGACATCATTTAGTGATGAGACTCCTGTCATTTTCCTGTTGAAAAACCTTGTGACTCTTGTTGGCCCAGAATTCTAAGGTCAGTTATTGACCCTCACCATAGGAAGGTTGTGTAGGCAGCCTACCTGGTTGGGAGCAGTGTTGTGTGTGATAAGCCTGGATTTCTAGCAGCTTTATGTTTGTAAACCTTGTTTCTTTAATTGAAATCTGAGCACATGAAGGGTAGGGAACTCCTCAACGCTGATATAATTCCTCACAAAGCTGAACACACACCACTGGGTCTCAAGAAGGTTATTCCTACATGGTGGTGGTGGTGGCATATCATGCCTTTAACCCCAGAACGGGGGAGGCAGAGGCAGGCAGATCTCTAAGTTTGAGGCCAGCCTGGTCTACACAGCAAGTTCCAGAACAGTCAGGGCTACACAGAGAAACCTTGTTTCAAAAAACCCAAAAATAAGTAAATAAAATAATGAAGGCTATTACCACCTTCAAGTGTGCTTCTCTCTTTCAGCAAGTTTCCAGATGACCCAGGAGTGCAGTGGGACACAGAGTGTGTGGCCAGCACCCTCCTCCAACACATAGATGTCAATGGCATCGACTTGGTAAGGCAGTGCCACTCTGAGTGGAAAGCCCAGGGTCCCCAGTCTGTCTCTTGGACTAGCTTCAGCTCCTTGTCTTGTGGCTGCCTCCCACTCCCAACCTTGATCCAAGCCCACTCTAAAAGGCTGTCTGCTGAACCCACTGAAGAGCAGACACTCCTTCCGATTTCCTTTGATCTTATGTATGATCAAGTGAACAACTTCTCAACCCTCGGGCTGAGAAGAGCATTTTCCAAACCATGTCCTGCTCCCTCCCCCACCTTTTTCTTGCCTCCTAAAAATTCAGAACCTCAGGAACCCACAGGAGACTTCCATTGACCCAGAACATCTCATATCAAGTGGTTTCACAGTTACGGTATCATTCTCACCTTGAAGATTAATGTTATAAATGTTAAAATTTTTATTTGACCCAGAATGGGTGGCTTCCAGAGACATATAGGGGTGTGGGGAAGGGTCCAGGGATCAAAGCCAGAGCTTTGTGCATGATAAACCCTAGGTCTAACAATGAGCTACATTCCCAATTCTGTGGCTATGGTGTTTAAGCCTCCATATCATTTGTTTGTTTGTTTGAAACAGGATCTTACTGTGTAGACCAGACTAACCTTGAAACTCACATAGATCAACCTGCTTCTGCCTCTGAAGTGCTGGGATTAGTCAGCCCAGCTAGCCTCCATTTATTTATATATTATTTATTTGGTTCTTTGAGACAGGGTTTCTGTCTGTGTAGCCCTGGCTGTCCTGGAACTCACTCTGTAGACCAGGCTGGTCTCAAACTCACAGAAATCTGCCTGCCTATGCCTCTCAAGTGTTGGGATTAAAGGCATGAGCCCCATCGCCTGATAGCCTCCATTTCTTGAGGGAAAAAAAAAAATGAGGATTAAAAACCTGCTTCCATGGGGGCTGGAGAGATGACTCAGCAATTAAGAGTGCTGGCTGCTCTTCCAGAGGTCCTGAGTTCAAATTCCAGCAACCACCTTCTAGCCTGCAGGCATACATGTAGACAGAATGCTGTATGCATAATAAATTAAAAAAATAATAACGTGCTTGCTTTTCCATTTTTCCATTTTCTCTTCTCTCTGCCCCGCCCACAGCCTTAGCTGTTGTTCCTTAACAAATCTTTCTTCCTACCCGTGAAAAAACAATAAGGATAAGTTCACACTCACTTTATAAGGAAATTGTCAGTCACCATTAGAGCAGTAATGGAGATTCATATTTGCTTGCAAAGGTGAACAAAGCCATCTCAGCTCTCTTAGGGTTAGCAGGTTAGGGTTTCCGAAATAGTCACTTCTGTTGAAATCCTCCTGCCTCTGCCTCCCAAATGCTGGGATTAAAGGTGTGCACCACCACACATGACCAAAACAGTCCACTTTAAAGTGGCCAAGGTTTACTTTCCAAATCTCAAAATAACAAAATAGTAATTCTTAATAGGTTAGTAGCTAAAATTTCACTATTCAAACCCCTTCTCATTTGACAGAGTTTTAAAAGTTGGAAGATAGGGCCTGCTGGTTAGGAAGCCAAATGTGGACTTTTCAGTCAATGAGTGAATGGATACATTAGACCTTTTTTTAAAAAAAAAAAAAAAAAGACCTTTCTTCTTTTTGTGATATGTACATATGAGCCTATGTGAGTATATGTGTGCCATGTGTATGCCCGAGTTCATGGAGGCCAGAAACGGGAGGGGGGGTTCCCCTGAATCTAGAGTTACAGGTGGTTGCCTGGGTCTCCTGGAAGAACAGTAAACACTCTTAGCCACCGAGCCATCTTTTTGCCTCTCAGGACCCTGCTTTCTTATGGTAGTAGCTTTCCGAGGACTAAGCCCAATCCTGGTCCTCATCATAGTGTGTTAGAGTTGTTGGCCATTACCAATCACTCCATTTGTAGGGGATTCACCATTCCAAACTTGGAAGTCATGGCCTTTCTTGATCTTTCCCTTATGCCACGAACACAGGTGAACAGGGTTGTCCTCATTTAGGGGCTGAGTATCTTTTCCAGCAGCTGGGGTGGGGCGGGCTCTGAGCAGAGTGCAAGGCATAAGCAACATGTCCCATTTCTTTCTTCTTCCTCCATCTTCAAAGGAATCCTGTCAATTTCTGCTTCTTGTCACATGGTCTTTTTCTCAGACCCTCTGTGCCCCTTTTAAGGACCACCGTGATTACATTGAGCCCACCAGCCCATGTAAAATAACCCCTCAATCTTGAAATCCTTAATCACATCTGCAAAATCCCTTTTGCTACTTGAACAAGTCAGGTTCCAGGGAAACAGGACATGTGTAGCAGACGTGTATTATATAGTTCACAGAGCAACCTTACCCCACAACCCTCATTCACACAGGATGGAAGGGCCCAATAACCATCCTAGAGATGATTTTTAACAGGTCCTAAGTTTCACACTGGTTGAGTGTTAGTGACAGTCTAGAGATCTGCTGGTGGCTAGGGGGGGAACATAAATGTGTTCTTTTAGTAGTAAAACTCAGTTCTGATGCTTGGCCCTAGAAAAATTCCTGAACAGAGCCACCAACTCCAGGTGGCACTTTGGGGTTTCCTTCCTTCCTTCCTTCTTTGCTTCCTTCCTTCCTTCCTTCCTTCCTTCCTTCCTTCCTTCCTTCCTAACTTCCTTCCTCCCTCCCTCCCTCCCTGCCTCCCTCTTTCTTTCTTTCTTTCTTTCTTTCTTTCTTTCTTTCTTTCTTTCTTTCTTTCTTTCTTTCTTTCTTTTTGAGACAGGGTTTCTCTGTGTAATAGGCCTGGTTGTCCGGGAACTCACTTTGTAGACCAGGCTGGCCTCAAACTCATTGAGATTTGCCTGCTTTTACCTCCCAAGTGCTTCCATTAAAGGTGTGTGCCACCACCGCTGACCCCAGGGGCACTTTGTGATGATGGTTTGAGACCAAAACAGGAGGAGGACGATGCCCGAAAGCTTCTGAGTTTCAAGGCTGGGTTCTAACCCAGTGCATGAGTGCTTGCTTAGTATACAAGATGCCCTGGGTTTGAATCCCAGCAATGTAAAAACCAAGAAATAAGGAAAACTGCTTCTTAGTTTTAACAAAGGAGAGCATTTATCCCAGCCATAAAGTCCTCCTCAAGGAGGAGACTGTCTAGGGAATGCCCTGAATGGCACTAATGCTCTATGCTGCTCCTGAAGAAGGAGACCCAGCTCTCTTGGTAGCCAAAGCCTTTCCAGTGTAAAGAGAAAGACCAAGCCTGGTGTATTGGTACAGGTCTGTAATCCCATCACCTGGAAGGTAGATCCAGGAAGACCAGAAGTTTAAGGCCAGCCTCATTGATGCAGAGTTCAAGGCAAGGCTGGGGGACATGAGACATCTCAAAATAAATCATAATCACAAAAGAAACAGAGCAAGAGTGAATCTTTTCCCAGACTACCCTAATTCCAGTTCTAACCCCTTCAACAGTTCAAGGATGCTTTCTGTCCCTGGGGACAACCCTTCTCTTTCTATCACTCTTAAACCAACCATCCCTAGTTCCTTTCCTGAATCCTTGTTTTCTTGTTTCTTCTATGATTCACAGTGAAGGTATCTGTGCAGATGGAACCAGAGGCAGCCTAAGACAGATAGATTTCTGTGTGTTTGATCCCAGGATGTTGTAGCTGTGGTATGGCATGAGGAAAGGAACCCCAGTGAATCAGGCTGTATCCACCTCAACAATTCCTATGTAGCAGCCAGCCAATAAGATGAGTGTGCTAGTAAGTGGCCAGGCAGATAAGAAATAAATACCTGTTGAGACAAGTGCTCATGTATCCCAGACTAGCCTCAAACCTAGTGTGGCTCAGAGATGCACTTCTGAGCCTCAAGCCTCTCTCTCCCAGGAACTGGGTTTACATACATGCACCACCACAGCAAGTTTATGCAGTGCTAACAACAAACCCTGGATTTCATGCATGCTAGGCAAGTTCTACCAACTAAGCCACATCCCCAGCCTATAGCAAAGGGATCCCAAGCCTCAGAGACATCTCAGTTAGTAATGAATTGCCTTGCAAGCATGAGAACATGAGTTTGATCTCTAGAGACCGTGTTGGAAACAAACAAAAGCCAGGCATGTTGCTGTGTGTTTATGATCCCAGCACTGGGGAAACAGAGGCAGATAGATCCCTGGGGCTCCCTGGCCTGACAGACTAGCCTGATCAGCAAGCTCCAGGCAAGTGAGAGCCCCATCTCAAAAACAAGGCAAGCAGTTTCCGGGGAACAGCACCTATGATTCTCTGATCTCCAAGAGCACACACTTGCACACACTCAAAGATTCTGAGCACAAGTTTCTGTCGTGGGGCAGATCACACTCTGCTCTGTCTACTGCCAGGAACAAGTGTGAACTACACACTGACAGTCACCACACACAGATCTGTATGCTCAGGCTACTTCAGCTGCTCACAATTTGGTAAATGTCAGATTCTAATGGGCATAAACCTTTAATCCCAGCACTCAGGAGGCAGCAGGTAGATCTCTGTGAGTTTGAGGCCAGCCTGGTCTATAGAGTGAGTTCCAGGACAGCCAAGGCTACACAGAGAAACCCTGTTTTGAAAAAAGAAAGAAAGAAAGAAAGAGAAGAAACAAAAAAAAGAAAAAAAGAGTTTCAGGTTCTGATCTTTCCTTCCCCCAAAGGAACGGTGAAGGCCCCTTTAAGGTGAGGCAGCGGAGAAGCCATTCAACAGCTCTGAGTGAGCCCTCCCTCCCCGGGTCTGTCCTACAGGTGGTGACTTTTGATGCAGAAGGAGTCAGTGGTCACAGCAATCATATTGCTTTGTACAGAGCTGTGAGGTATGCTTCTGTGGGTGATGGAAGTGGGAAAGAGTTTCTGCATTTGCTCCAGGGTCACAGTCACTAAAATAACTTCCTGCCTATTTTCTGAGCCCCAGAAAATGTACTCTTTTGTCACCATGCAGGCCTTGTTGCCCTATTGTTCACCTACCTACCCACCTCTCCACATCTTTTTTTTTTTTTAACATGTATGTCTGAGTACCAGTCTACCATGTGTATGCATTGCCCACAGAGGCCAGGATCTAGAGTTACAGGTGGTTGTAAGCTTTAGTGTGGGTGCTGGGAATTGAACCTGGGTCCTCTGGAACAATAGCCAATGCTATAAACCACTGTTTCCCTCTTTATGAGAACTCACAAGTCTTAGTAGGAGTGGAAATGACAGTTTCCTAATGTTTTATTTTTTAGATTTTTTTCAGATTTTCTTTATTTATTGAGTATTATATAGACATACTGTGGTTTTTTTTAAAGTTTTTACTTGCCTAGCAAAGAAGTGGTGGCTCATATCTTTAATCCCAGCACTAGGGGGTAGAGGCAGGCAGATCTCTGTGAGTTCGAGGCCAACCTGATTTACATAGTGTAGCCCAGGGCTACAGAAAGAAACCCTGTCCTGAAATAAAACAAAGCAAACAAAATTTTTTTAAGATTTATTTATTTTGTATACAGTGTTTTGCCTGCACATGTATCTGCACACCAGAAGAGTGCACCAGATCTCATTACAGATGGTTGTGAGCCACCGTGTGGTTGCTGGGAATTGAACTCAGGACCTCTGGAAGAGCAGCCAGTGCTCTTAACCTCTGAGCCATCTCTCCAGCAACAACAAACAAAATTTTTATTGGTCTATATTAAATATACATGATAGTGGGTTTCTCATAATTTTCAGACATATATGTGATGTGTTTTGATCATACTCATTCGCCATTGTTCTCTCTTCCCCTTCCTTAGGGTAAGTAGCTGACTGCCCTTCCTTCCTCTATGTGTGTGTGTGTATGTGTGTGTGTGTGTGTGGTGTGTGTGGTGTCCTAATTGGTTTCATCAGGTTGCTTACAGGAGCACAGGTGAGAGATCATTTACAGGAGCACATGCACCTTACCACGTTGGCCTCAAATTTACAATTAACTTCAGGTCTGTGCCTCTTGATGCTGGTATTATAAGTATGTACCTGTCCAGCTTAACAGTTGAGTTCTATTTTTACCCCCTGGATACTACACCTGGGGTAACTGATTCTATTTCCATCTTTACTTCAGCCACAGAAACCTGACAGGCCAAATCCCCAGCCCTCTAAGTGAATGAAAGCGACTCCAGGAGTAAGACCTGTGGACCAGCACACCCAGTTTTGTTATCTTCATCCTTCCTCCTCACTAATGTTCTGTTAAGTTTCTCTTAAGCTGTTCCCAGGCTTTTACTTTGTTTTTGTTTTTGGAGGAAGATGATTACATGCATAATATGACATCCCAATTGTTTGCCTGTTATCATGCCTATTGTCCTAGCATTTGAGAGAATGTGGCAGGAAGGTCTCAGCATCAGGCATTCTAGGCCACAAGCAAGACTATCTCAAAAAAAACAAAAAACAAAACAAAAAAAACCCCACATTTTCCAGCACTATCCTATTTTATTGACATTTGTGTTCATCTTACCAGTGAAACCAAAATGGATCCTCAACAATGGTGCCTGACCTATGGTCAAACCAGCAGACTGTGTCCCTTATCCTCCAGTGAACACTTCCGCAGAGTGCAGGTCCTGTCCTAGCTACCAAGGAAGGAAAGGGGTGCTGGGAAGTATTGTTTTCCTGCTTCTAAACATGCTCACCACTCTCAGACTGAAGCTGTCATCGTTATGAAGTTGGAAATGACCTCACTGGTCATGGAGTGCAACCATCTCGTTTGACAGGCAGAGAAGAGGATTGCCCAGTACAACATGCAACAGTAGCAGAGACAGGACTAGAACTCACTCGGTCATCCTGTGTCTCCCTTCGGTACCTCCATTGGGTGTACTTGAAGGCAGACCCAACTTGATGGCTCCCCAGCCTCATCTTTAGTTGTATGCAACTTTGGAAGAGAAATTAGTACTCGTATTTTCTTCCCAGACAGTTAATCCTGATTTTTTGTGGGGTTATTAGAGGCCACACTTATCTCCCTTCTTGTAAAAAATCATTCATTTCCTGGCCCAACAGATGCCACAGATACCGCTATGTGTTAACAGTTGCATTAAGTTCTTTCATAGTTAAGAAAGACACACCACAGGTTTCAGTAGAAGATGCAATTTTTCAGTGAAGATACACAAAAAAGTGTACATCCCAGGAATGGACTTAAGCCAAAGTGCTTATTCTAAGGACTGGACTGCTGGAAAGCAAGCCATTGTTGGGTGGGAATAGGGCTCCACTTCACTCCCGATCCACACAGAGCCTTATATTTATACTCAAGTATTCACCAGAAAAAAGGTCAGGTCAAGTTTACTATAAACAAACCAAGAGCACCTCAACAGACAGTGGGCAGGGCACTTGAATGGGACTTGGTTAGTTGCATCCCTGCCTGTGCTGTTTTTTGTTTGTTTGGGTTTTTTTTAAGATTTTATTTATTTATTGTGTATACAACATTCTGCTTCCATGTATATCTGCACACCAGAAGAGGGCACCAGATCTCATAACGGATGGTAGTGAGCCACCATGTGGTTTCTGGGAATTGAACTCAGGGCCTCTAGAAGAGCAGTCGGTGTTCTTAACCTCTGAGCCATCTCTCCAGCCCCGGTTGGTTGGTTTTTTGTCAGCTTGACACAAGCTGGGGTCATCTGTGAAGATTAAGGAAAGGTCTCCATCAAACTGACCTGTAGGAAAACCTTTTGATCATTTTCCTGAACGATGATTGGTATAGGATGGCCCAGCCTACTGTGGGTGGTGCCCCTTATGGCAGGGGGGGCTGGGGGGTACAAGAAAACAGAAAGGAAAAGGCCAAA